CTGGAAGAGAGAGACAGGAAACAAAATGTTAAGGAAGCAGCAACCACATATGGACTAGTTCTGGGATTAATTTTTCCATCCTGGAGAAGAAGACATTTCATATTGGGCCTGGTGACAACTACAGAAAGACAATACCTTCAACTCCAAAAGAGCAAGAGAGTAGAACTACAATCAAATAGCATTGATTTAGATGGAAAAATACATCCCGGGATCATGCAGAGGTGGGAAGAACCAATGTTTAGGCTGACAGCAGCTTGTCTAACATTCCCAGGAAAATCAACTTCCAAGTCAAGAGAGGAAGTTTGGCATCAAAAGACATCAACAGTTTCCATCCAGGGACCAGCAGAGAGCAGGCTTTGTTAAGCCTTAATGATATCATTTGTGCTCTGAGCACACACAATTTTCTGGAATGGTGAGCTGGGGGAATGGTGTGGGGGGGGCCTCCATCCTCTCAATGTCATCCTCCCAACCTCACCTCTGAACACAAAGCACTCAGATTAATCTGGGTCTCTTTGAACTAGTCTCTTTTCAGGTTTCTTGAACAAAATTTTGATTTATTAACAGACTTAACACCAATCAAAGCATGCTTTACTTGTGGATTCTCAAAATAGATCTTAGATTGTCAAATTTAGATCTTAGGGCAGAGATTCTCGAAGTGTGGTCCCAGGGCCGGCAACACCAGCATTCCCTAGGAACTTGCTACAAATGCAACTTCTCAGGCTCAACCCCAGGCCTACTGAGTCAAACTAGGAAGTAGAGCCTGGCAATCTGAATTTACATCAGCCCTCCAGGGATTTTATTACACACTTAAGTTTGAGAACCACTGCCTCAGAGAAACTAACAGAATTACCAGTGCATTAATGCATAAATCTACCCTGTTTGCAAATTCCAAAAGGAAGGCACGATGGGGAGCTCTTCCCCCATTACTTTTGGTTTCTTGCAGCCATATCTATTGACGCTTGCTCATCTGGGGGATATAAAGACTCAATGTCAGAGCATTGTGAAGAATCAGGAAAGGGGTGATTTTTAAAGGTTAGGGGGTTTTAAATTTGGTTTTGCACCTGAATGGATTTTGATGGTAATCCATTTTGCACCCCACTGATTTTCAATTTATAAGTGGTGGCACATGATTGAATTGTTTGACCCCCGGCCCACTGTCAGCAGGGAACCTGCAATTGGTGAAGTGCAATAATTTAGACAGTGCCTCATGAAACTGATGCCTTATTGTAAATCATATCTGGACAACTGCCCAGTTGCCAGTTATTGGCGGACACTCCTCCAGCGGGACTGACGCTGTCCAAGAAGCACATTCTAGAGAGTAGTATGCGCTCTTCCTGCATCTTCCATTTTTCGACTTTGCTGCCTCTTTTCCTTTAGCCCACAAGCATCCTGAAGCCTCTCACATGCCCCCAGCTTTCCCCCTAAGCACACCTCCTCCTCATGCCTTCATCCTGTCACCCTCCTTCCTTAACTTGCAAAACTTGTTGAAAAAGGAGTCTACCAGCCAGTCTCCACTTCCTCCATTCACATTCACACCTCCAACCCCACATGCTCTAATTTCCATAACAATTTCCATTAATAGCATCACCTCCCATCCAGTCTACATCATAAATCCTGCAGTCATTGCGAATGCTGCTTCCTCCTCAAGGGTGCCCCACCTTCCTGACATCCAGCTGGTCACAAAATTCTGCCAGGTCTACTTCAGAAATGTCCCCGGAGTCTCGTACCTACTGTCTATCTCCCCTCCTCCTGTAGTAGTTGTCCTGATACAGTCAACAACCACATCGCTTAAGGACTTATGAGATAGGAGGGACTCGCCAAGGCTGTAGACCACTGGTTTCCAACTTCATTTATGCTGTGGTGCACACACAGAAGATGTTTACAAGGCACCCTGGAGTGAACAGATGAGGCTGCCTGCTCTGTCCAGGCTCCTAGGGCACTGAAGAAGCCAGGGTTTCCAACACACCTGGAATCTATTTATGGGTTTTGGACTTATTCCACCGGTGGGAAACTCTGTTATGGATATCAACTCATTTAATCATTCAATCCGTTCTACAACCAAATTAAGTAGGCATTACCATCCTTATCCCTATTTTTTTAATTTTTATTGATTGATTGATTGATTGATTGATTGATTGAGACAGAGTTTCATTCTTGTTTCCCAGGCTAGAGTGCAATGGCATGATCCCGGGTTCAAGCGATTCTCCTGCCTCAGCCCTCAAGTAGCTGGGATTACAGGCATGCACCACCACACCCAGCTAATTTTGTATTTTTAGTAGAGACGGGGTTTCTTTATGTTGGTCAGGCTGGTCTTGAACTCCTGACCTCAGGTGATCTGCCCACCTCAGCCTCCCAAAGTGCTGGGATTACAGGCATGAGCCACCGCATCCGGCCCCTCATCCCTATTTTTTAATGAGAAAGTGAAGGCATGAGGAGATTAAATGAGTCACTGAAGGAGGTAGCAGTGCCAAGATTAAAATCCAGGACTGTCTAACCAGAGTCTCCTCTATTAGGCCACTCTCCCATGTGGAGTGTATTCTATAAAGGAAAATGTGATAATGTCACACCCCATTCACAGGCCCTGTGTTGGCCTCTTTACACACAGGATAAACCCCACACTCCTCAGGTATAAAGTCCCAGCTCCCTTCAGGCCCCAACCTTCACATACCCCAGGCTCCAGCCAGGTGAACCTCCCACCTTACCTTGAATATGCCATATTCACTCCTGACTTAGCATTTATTCTCTTTCCTGCCTTTCTTTCCCTTAGGATGAGCAAAAACCTACTCATCATAAGAGATGGCTCAAATGGCAGCTACTCAGCAAAGCCTTCCTTGCATCTAGATTGCACCCCAGCAGCAGGCGTTCCACCAGCAGCTTCCCTGCTTCTGTTCTTCCTGCAGCAAACACACTCCTGCACTGTGATTTATCTGTTTACATGCCTCACTCCCCGACTAGATTATGAGTTTCTCAAGGGCAGGGATGTTGTCTTATTCATTCATCTTTATCTTCCCAGCACCTAGCACAAGGTAAGTACCAATAACATGTGCTTTGAGGAAAGAAATGAATAATATGAGGTGTTCTTTGTAAGAATGCAGTGGGTAAAGAATCCAACTGCTTTTATTACATGCAAGGAATTAAAATAATTGAGGCAAATTAGAATCTAACGAATGAAAGGAGGCGATCGTTGCAGAACTCTGTGAGTCTAGAGCAAACGCCTCTTCCCTGCCTGGACAATACAAGGAGAGGCTTATTAATCACAGTGAGGTAGAAGAAAATGGCGTATGATCACAGAACAGTGTCTCAATGGACTTGGTAAACGTAGCCCCAGGGGTAGCTAGGTTAATGGTTTTGGGAGAAAAAAAAGGAATCAAAGAAAGAGGAAAGGAAGATATAAAGTGTAGAAGGCTGTAACAAGAATACCATCATGCCTTGGACATGTGCAGTTGCGCAGGTTGTGTCCTGCACAAGGGCACTTCCCAGGGACACCTGGGCACTGAAATTCAGCTGCTCCTCTTTTGGCTAAGCTTTGCACCCTGCTGGGGGTTGCTGGGGGCTGCCCTGCCAGAAGCTCTGCCTTTGTCTCACTTGCACAATGCTGCCTTATGAGCTAGCAGCAGCCCTACCTACAATAATTTCAAGATTCAATGAAACACCTCCAAGACCCAGCCTTGGGACACAAAACCAGGTCCCACTGGGAATGGCCAGATTGGTGACTCACTCTTGTGTGACGGAAGCACCTGATTTCTTAGCTCAGGTCAGATACTCTCAGCCTCAACAGAAACTCAACAAGTTGCCACTGGTTCCAGGCAGGCTGGAGCCAGCTCCCTTAACCTCCTCCAACCGCAGCCCACCCAGCCAGAGAGGGAAGAGGCCCTTGACCTTCAGCAAGAGCAAGAAGCCAGCCCACAGGCACTGCAGGTGACTGGCTGGGGAGCCTGCCTGGAGCAGCCACCCCAGCCCCGCTGGAGGCCCTGGCTATTTGCTTTGCCTCGGGGATTGCAAGCATCCTGCCTCTGACAGCAATTAAATTTGAAAGATTCAAATATTGCCTAAAAAGAAAAGGAAAATATTTATCCATGTGTCTGCAGGTCCTGTCAGTGTGCTGGGCTTTTGTAAATACAGGAACCATCTGGGCACCAAATAAGTAGGCCCAGAATGTGGGCTTCCTAATACAAACAGGTTTTCCTGCAGCACGCAATGCAGAGGGGGCTACCTGGAAGGCAATGGAGAAGTTCACGGCCTTCCCAGGAAGGAAGGACAAACGCTTCTTCACCAAATTCCTGCATCCCAGCCCAGAGCCTCCGTTCTTCCTCCAGAAGCCTCAGGTAGGGGAGGACTGACTGGTTGAGAACCCAGGGGTGGCTCCTTCCTGTGCCCCCTGTGGGAGACTTATTTATTTATTTAAAAGAGACTGGGTCCCACTATGTCACCCAGGCTGAAATGCAGTGGCACAATGATAGCTTGCTACAGCCTGGAGCTCCTGGGCTCAAGTGATTCTCCCAGCTCAGCCTCTGCAATAGCTGGGACTACAGGCACATGCCACCATGTCCAGTTCATTTTTTTTTTTTTTTTTTTTAGTAGAGATGGGGTCCCACTATATTGCCCAGGCTGGTCTCAAACTCTCAGGCTCAAGTGATCTGTCCACCTCAGTCTCCTAAATTACTGGGATTACAGGCATGAGCCACTACACCTGGCCTTTTCTTATGTTTTGTAGAGATGGGGTCTAACTATGTTGCTCAGGCTGTCTCAGATTCCCGTGCTCAAGCAATCCTTCCACCTCTGCCTCCCAAAGTGCTAGGAGTACAGGCATGAGCCACCACCCCTGGCCTGGTGGGACACTTTAAACCCTCAGTCATGCTCTGCCTTCTGAGCTGGTGACCCCTCCTGCCCATATGTCAGGGTCATAGCAAGACAGAGGTAATTAAGGAGAGTTTCAAAAAAGGACAATTTAACCCAACAGCAAAAGAATGACCTGATTAAAAAATGGGGAAAGGATGTGA